GTGTTCTGACCGGTTTGGTCTGAGAGGGACAGAGCGGGTGAGTGACAGAGAAGAAGTGGAAGTGGGTGAGGGTGGAGTTGTTGCTCTGTGAACAGCCCACACCCTAACTACCTTTCTCCACTCCACTCCACCTGGGGATGAGTCAGGAGGGCAATGCTACCAACAACAACAGCACGGGCTGGGCTGGATGGAAAGTGAGAATTCCCTGGGACAGAGGCAGTGGGGAAGAAGATGAAAGAATTCAAAGGAGGTCACAGGTAGAGACTTGAAATAGGAAGAACTATTCAAAATAAAAATCACGTCCCTCGCCAGCTTAGCTCAGTGGATAGGGCATCGGCCTGCGGACCTAAGGGTCCCGGGTTCCATTCCAGTCAAGGTATATGCCTGGGTTGTGGGCTCGGTCCCTAGGAGGAGGCATGCAGGAGGCAGCTGATCAATGATTCTCCCTCATCATTAATGTTTCTATCTCTCTCCCTCTCCCTTCCTCTCTGAAATCAATAAAAATACATTTAAAAAGTAAAAATAAAAATCATGGAGGACACAGCACATGCAGAAACGGCTTGGAGCTTGAAGCTGGCAAGAAGGCCATGTGCGGCCAGCTTTAGCAATTTACTCTTCACCTTCTGTGCCCACCGAGCGCGTGGGAAGAGGCCCGGACCTGAACGAATCCTCTCCCCCAGGAGCTCTCCACAGAAAGGAATGCTATCCAGGGGACAGATCAGGCTCCGCCTGGGAGCAGAAGGTGGCAGCCCAGAGTTTCTGCCTCGGCTAATTCAAGGTTTGGGCATGCAAGGTTTGGTGAAGGAGGGATTTGGTCCAAGGGTGAACAAGTCTGTGACTGCCCCTCACCCTGGGGGTGAGCAAGCCTGGCATTCCCTCCCTAGAAGACTGGGGAAATCTCCCTGGTGCCCTAGAAGGTTCTAAGAAGTCACTGGCAGCGTCCAGAAAGCTTGTGTCTCTGGGGGTACGTGCCCCCGAGAGGAGCAGGAGGCATCTAGGAAAGGCTGCTGCTCGAGGGACTGAGCATGAAGTCCCTGATGGAGCAGACGACAGGTGGGGTGCAAAAGAAGCCCCAGGCGGGGTGCCTAGGCTCTGGGAGGACGCCCTGCCGAGCGCAGCGGAGAGAGGAGAAAGCAGGTAAGCTGCATCTTGGTGGGTTTTCCACTGGAGTGGGGCTGGCAGGGGAACTGGTATTAGGGTGCCCAAGAAGGGGGCACCTTGGACTGGGGAAAGGGGACCTGAAACCCTGGCTTGATAGAAGAGTGGGTCTTGGAGGTGGGAACATGAGTCCTTGAGAATGGAGCCAGGATCCTGTCACAGGGAGACCTGGTTCTGGAAGCACAGAACTCAGCCATTTGGGCCAGGGGTGCTTGGGGCCCTGAGGAGTGGGTAATGTGGGGTGAGGGTGGGGCAGGGTGAACCTGGCCCTTGGGGCCCCAGGTGCTTACCTGAGACCCAGCAGAGCAAAGAAGACAAGGCGACCAGCAGAAGGCCTTTCATGGTGAGGGTCCTGAGAATGGTAGCAACTGCAGCAGCCGACAGAGCAGATTTCGGGGACTCAGCTCCGGGGGTTGGGTGGCCTTTTCACATTTATACTCCCAACAGTCCCTCCCTTCCCTGCCTCTGGGGGCCCCTCCTCCCCATTATGGTGGGGAGGGACTAAACTGGACTGAGTGGGGGAGGGGAGAGAGGTGAGGGAGGTGGGGCAGGATTGGGGTGGAATGTAGGTGAGCCATTTTGGTTCTTGGTTTCAGAGGAAGGCGCTCCTCCTGGCGCCCCTGCCCACAGCCCTGCTTGCCCAGTCCTCTGTTCTCCTCCCAGGAGGCATCACCAAAGGCCCCTGCAGTGTTCCAGCCCCCGCCCCCGGCAGCTGCTGGCTGGTTTCTGGGAAATAGACAATGAGTGTGGCCCAAGAGGACTGCCCATTTTGGATCCCTGGGGCCACTGGTAGAACATGTGGGCAGAGATTTTGGATGGAAAGAGCCAAATTAATCTCAATTCAGCTCCTATTTGGTCTTCCCAGCCACTGTTCAGCCACAGGATTAAGGAGTCGGGTTTGTGGTGTCACCAAGGGTGTCTGTGATGTCACAGCAGCAGAGGCCTGGGCTGGGCTGGGCGGGCCTCAGGTGCGCTGTCCAGCGAAGGCCGGTGAAGTCCTGGATGCCGAGCGCGTGCACCTACTCCAGGGGCAAACCGATCAAAACCTGCCGGTCCGCGCGGTGCGTGGCTGAGAGACCGCGTGGGCACAGAGGCAGGAGGCAGGAGGCAGGGGGCCCGTTCCGTGAAAACAGACAGTGAGACAGTGGAAAGTACTTCGTGTTCCCGTGAGTCACCCCGTCCTGGGCGTTTGAGGAGTATGCATTTAGTTCTCACAATCCTGTACAACGCAGGTGCTTTTGTAGATGAGCCAAGAGGCCCAGAGAGGTTAGGCGACTTGCCCACAGCACGCAGCCAGCAGTGGTGAAGGCAGGTTTTGAATTCGTGATGCTCCGACCTGCTCGGTTGCAGGAGTGAAAGCCTGGGAAATGCTGGCGCCCACGGCCAAGCGCGCACAGCCAGGGAGCATTGTTTGAGGGCGGTGAGCTTGCCTGAGTGCTCCCAGAGGGATCCGGGCAGCGGACGGGCCCCGCCCCTCTTA